TTATATTAATATTTGCATTTCTATTTGCATTTATAAATTTATATATATTTATAACTATTTAAATATAAATATTAATTTATATTATAAATTTATATATCAATATATATATATATATATATGTTTATTTATATATGTTTATTTATATATGTTTATTTATATTATTAAAACTTTAAAAATATTAACTTAAATTTATATTTGCATTATAAACATATATATATATGTTTAAATAATATAGATAAATATATAAATAACTTATTAATAATAATAATAACTATTAATTTATATGCTGATGCATGCAGCCCTCTGACAGACCGCATCCTCGTTTAAGAGCAGTCTTCTTAGAAATAATGGATGGGCTGCCGAGACACTCAACAGAGAAGCATTTCTTTAAAACTGCTGCAGCAGCAACAGATGCTGCTGCTGCTGGTGCTGCTGGTGCTGCTGGTGGTGTAGCTAATCCTAATGCTGCTGCAGCAGCAAGCGGAAGAGGAGCAGCAGCAGCAGCAAATGCAGCAGGAGCAGCAGCAGCAGCAGGAACAGCAGCAAATACAGGTGCTTGTATATCTATTAGATCTAGACAGCCTTATACAGAGTTTATCTCTTCACATACACCTCAATCTATATTATCTGATTGCTATTCGCCTTCAGTCTGCAGCCGCACATACAACAGAAAGATATCAGAAAATAATAAAAATAAAACGCAGTATGATGTCTTTGCTTCTAGAAACACACAAAATGCAGCAGCAGCAAATGCTGCTGCTGCTGCTGCTGCTGCTGCAGTAGCAGCAAATGCTGCTTCAAACAGCAGACATAACAAACAACTAGGAGCAGCAGCAAAAAGAAATACTACAGGCATACAAAGAAATCAGAGAATCTCAGATAGACTGCCTCACACCCTGCAGCAGCAGCAGCAGCAGCAGCAAATGCTGCTCAAGCAACAGCAACAGCAGCAGCAGCAGCAGCTGCAACAGCTGCAACAACAGCTGCAGCAGCAACACCCACACCAACAACGCCCGATGATGCATCAACAGCAGCATCAGCAGCAGCAGCAAATGCAGCAACAGCAACTGCTGCAGCACCACCAACTGCTGCAGCAACATCAATTGCTGCAGCAGCATCAACTGCTGCAGCAGCAACAGCAGCTGCTGCAGCAACAACAGCAGGAGCAATATGCAGCAGGTCAGACACCATACAAATGCAATCCTATCAGATATACAGTCGCCAGCAATATATATATATATATATAT